GGGGGGGGGGGATTTATCCATTGTTTGTTTCAGCCAACATTCTATAATGAATGTTTTTTCTAAAATATCTTGGAAAACAATACAAAGGCTGAAAAGATAAGCACCAAGTAGATCCATGCAGAGTGCTGGAATGGTGATAGATGTGGATGCATGTCTCTCCAGTGTGATCCTATTATGCACTGCAGTTGGTGACGAGAGTAAAGTACAAGGAGTGCAGGAGTAACGAGCATTATTGCCAAACCTGCAAAGGACCCCTGAAAGAAACAATTTAGATATTACACCATCTTTTCAGGATTAGTTTGGTGTTTGTACCTATTTTCATAATTGCATGACTGATGACAACAAGGAAACCGAGTAAAAGCTTTGTTACAAAGAAAATGTGTTGTGCACAGAGTGGAAAAATGCCATGCAAAAAATGCGAGCAACATTTTCCCTGCAACTTGCAACTCAAAAGTGTTGAGCAACAAGTTAAACGATTTTACTGCCTATATTACCACACTTTTATTAAGGTCAAAGCAAATCACTGAAGGTTTTTCATTAGCGAATCTATAAGGGGGGGGGGGGGTGTTACATATAAAGGCATTAACTAGTATCTTTTAGGTGTTAATACGTTACCCCAGCCTTTATTGTTATTAGGAACCTGGAATGTAGACCTCCAGGTTTTTGAGTTTAGACCTAGCATTCCTTGGACGAGAACGGCGCACGTGGCTGGGTGCTTTTGGCGCCAAAACCTTTGAGCAAGTTGGGACATGGACGTAAAAACTCCATAAGGGCGTGTCTAGTAGAGACCCAATTTCCTCCCTGATTCCGCCCTTGTCCACAGTGGTATTTTTGGTATTATATCGGTCTTACCGTAAGAACAACCAATTTCCTAATATCATGAACGAAGATTGCAATGGCTGCTGGTGGGATCAGTGCTACCAGTGTAAAGACTTGTTGACTGTATCCAAATTGCTGGGGAGACAAGAAAAAAAAAACAAGCTAATTAAGTTTGAGGATCAAATTGCTTGGCAGCGATTACTTATTTATTCAATCAGCTTTTGACATGATGCTTGCAAATGGCTGGAAATGAGCAGACATGGAAAAATGGTTGAGAGGATAACTAGTGAATCTTCGAACACCTGAGAAACATCCAATAACTCTACCTGTAATGGAGGGTCCCAGGATTGAACCACAACCACAGGGATACCAACCTTGCCATTACCGTGAGCGTGTAATGTCAGGGAAAGGGAAAATCTCAGATAACTTCGTAGCCGCAATTTTTTCGCGTAGTTTTTTTTTTTACTTTTAAAACGTTGCGACGTGATGCAGACAACCAATCTACTAGAACTTGGGCATTGGATTAAAGCATGTCGTTTTGGGCGGCTTTCGTTGAGTGGGAAAAGATACAGCAAAATTCGTCCCGTACCATAACCGTAACTACGAGTTGTGGTTGGATAGAATACTTGAAACTATTTCTATAGTCGTACTGTGTACGTGCTGCAAGTCATTACTGTACGTTTCCCACTCATATTCAAACCCGGCGCTATATGCTTCCAAGATTGTCTGTGGGGAAAAGCTGGCGTGTCTGCTAGAGAAAGTATCGTCGTTGCAGAAAAACTGTTACAATCACAAGAGAGCATAAATATTTATTCTTATCTATTACAATAGAATAGAGTGTGCGAGAACAATGAAAAAGAAATGAAAAATAAGTGAAAGAAGGAAAGAAATTAAAGAGAGAAAAACTGTTTTTGCTGTAATTTTTCTAATTTTAGAAATTTAGCTTTAGTTTTAGAAAAACTGGCTATAGTCATTATCGATGGCCACATAGTTAACTATGACGGCCACTCATAAACTCGTCGTAGGATGGAGGCGTAGGTAAATTTCCGTTATTAGCCTGTTGCCCTGCTGGCCATGTGAAGGTAAGATAAGGTACCAACATTGGACATCATCACTGTAAAATTTATAGATCCACGGTAATTTTGAAATCGTTTGGTAAATCTATTTATTATATCATCCGATCCACAGGAAGCCCCTCAAAGATTACCTCCAAGAAGCAAAGAGAGATTATCACATTTCTTTTCTATTGTCACGAATCACTGAGCATTATGAACGAAGCCTCGCATTAAAACCTTTGTGCGTTACCTTAGAGAAGCATATCTCGCAAGTGGGCTCTTTTATTCACGAGTTTTCCTAATTATATCGCAAATGAGCGAGTCCGCGAACAGGTAAGAGATATAATATGGAAAACCAGTGAATAAAATTAACGTGATAATACGTGTTTTTTGGGGTTTTTTCACGGCTTTATCACACGGATATATACAGAAATACAGAATTTTAATGTAATTAAATTAGTTGCAAATTTAAAGCGCAAATGTTTTGATGTAAATTGTTTTTATGTGAAAGTATAATAATATCGCGTTATGGAAACTGTGTAAAGATGTCAATGAAGGTAGGTAGAATATTATCCATTCATCCATGACATTTATTATATCAAAAATATTCATGGCAGTCTTGGCTATAGTCGTTGCTATCGAGAGCCCCTCATAACCTCTTCGTAGGATGGAGGTGGAGGTAGGTCTCCGTTAGTATTAGCCTGTTGCCCTGCTGGCCATGTTGTGGTAGGGTAAGGTGGTGGTAACGAAGGATCCGTTGCTGGAGTATTCGTCACGACATTAGGCTGGTTTTGCATACCAGCAAAACCATACGTTCCTGCAGGTGGATATGGCTGTTGTGTCTGGGTATTTGCAACAGGTTGATGAAACTGTACAGCTTGTTCTACTGGTTGTTGAGTTCGATTTCGACGAGCTGCTGCTCTGTGTCTGAAGTAACTTCGAAACAAGAAGTACCCAACGATGAAGAACACAATTGACACGAATCGAAGGTAAGTCATTTTGGAAGGTCCAAACAGCCCGATAGCTACAAAACCTAGTCCAATAATACAAGACAATATCCCCAAACGGAGGCATTTTCCTGGGTCATTGAGAATGAGTCTTATAGAATCCATCGTTGGAGGAAAATATTCGGCAAGCTTTCGAAGATGGATTTGCTTGACAGATTTGTGAACAGAATTTTGTCTTTGCTATCGAAATATCAGCATTCCCATAAGGTAAAGTTGATGTCATCCGGTAGAATTTCTACACTCGCCAGACTGACAGATTACAGTGTGACATTTGAAATCAGAAGTGCTCGTATGCCGGTATTTTGAAGTCGTTAATTACATTTCGTAATAACCAACTAGCTAATTGTATTCATTACGTCATAAGAATAGACAATGTGCACGAATCTCTAGCACAAAGCACGATGGGAAACCGAATACTTACAGTTTTTCAGCTCTAAAAATTCCTCGCAATTTTTCTTCGACATTTCCTATGAAACTGTAAGTATTTCAACAGACAAAAATTATTGTGTAGTACTCGGTGTCCCAACATGCTTTGTGCTAGCGATGCGTCGTGCTCGTGCACATTCGTCCACATCGAAAAGAATCCACAGGAGGTCCAAGGAATAAAAGAATACACAGGTATCCCAATTAATGTAAAATATCAAATCATTGCTGTGCTTATTATCATCATTATTATCATCATTATTAGTATCATTATTATTATTATCATAATAATTATATTTATTATTGTCAATATTACCATTACAATATTACCATATTACTATATCTTCATGTATTTCATAATTACTTTACCTTTTACTAACCTTCTCACCAAAGACAAATATTATTTTGTTTTTCTACTACTTGGACTTTTTTGCGATATTTTTTAAGCTATTTAAAATAATTTTTAAATGGTCAACTGACGTTTCACGTTTGCCGTGAACGTAAATCTAAAACTCTCTAATATTACCATATATTAGTATCCTCTACTCCATTTTACTGTTTATCGAAGTATTATGATCATCCGGGTGGATGTAACCCTGAGAAGGACTGTTTGATGTGACTGACGTTTCGACAACCTGAGCGGAAGTCATCTTCAGAGTCAAGTGAAGAATAAAAGAATAAAAGATTGATCATATTTATACTGCCACGATAACAATAGCTCCGCCCACAACACCGAAACAGCGACGCGCACAGTCCTTCTCAGGATTACATCCACCCGGATGATCATAATACTTTGATTAACATTCATTCACCTGGGTTCAGACCGCTCTATACGATACTGTATTTTAGGTCAATTTTTCTCAAATATTCTATGTAAATTATCTTCTTAACATACGAATGAATTGTCGTTTAATAACATCATCACTGGCATCACAATTAATATTATTATTATGTCAACATTTTCGTATCTTTTATCATCATCATCGTCATCACCAAGAAGACTTAATTATAGTGGAAGTATTCTATAGTTCAGAGTACGTATAGAAAATTATTTCTCAAACAAACATAGTTCTGATCCAAGGCAGGCATGACTAATYTTGAGACCATGTCCAAGTAAAGTAAGGTATAAAGTCGGTGACGGTGATATATATGTATTACAATGCTGTAGTATCACTGGCTTTCAGGCTTGCAGCCTTTTATATAGCGACACTAGGGAGTCTCAGTTCTTCGACGTCGAGTGGACTTTTAATGGGATAGAAGTGTATGGGCGTTGCACCTGCACCCAGCAGACACTGGATCCTTCCCTCCTGACTAACAACCCAACATACTCTGATTCCACCGAGTTGTGCAGGTGAATTTGTGAATGTGATGTCATCTTGAACCTCTTGTGACTTCTTCATAAGATGGAGGTGGAGGCAAGTTTGAAACATCATGGTGAGCTGCACCCCACGACAGATCGTATGGCGGCGGAGAAGACACTGAAGAATCGTTGGCCAAACTTGAATTTGCTTGTCTTTGTGCACCATAAAATCCATAGGACGTCTCTCCTATACGACCTGTAGCTGGGGGGAGATTTGAAGGTGCAGGACAAGATGGCTGTGCTGGACAGCTTGATTGCTGCACCGCTTGTACATCCATTGCAATATTAACACGAGCTCCGAGCTGATTGGGACGATTTCTAGGTCTGCTCCTACAGTGCACTCGTAAAAACATATAACCAAACAAAATGAAAGGTATTGCCATGTACCGACAATAAAATACATCTTCAGGCCCTAAAAACCCGGTCAATATCAAAGCTAGTCCTGCTATACCGAATATAATCGCAAAAAATAAACACAGCACAGGGCTTTCCAAGATAGCTTTAATTTTCTCACACATGATCCCGAGATTCAGTTTCTTTAAGTTCCCAAAATCTTGTAAATGAAAGTATAGTTTCCAAGTCTTTAGCTTCTTTTCGAGCTGATCTCTGATGATTTCAGGCTTTCGTCATGACGAAGTTTACCGTAACAACAGCAAAACAAACCAAATCCTTGCAATAGATCAGTGCCAATGGCTCACTCGTCAGAGTAGGTCCTGCCCAGTTTCCCTAGTTACTTTACTCCACGTTACACGTACACTTTTGAAATACGAGAAAGATAAAATTTTGCACATAAAGAATCTCTTTACACTGTGTTTAGTCCGTTATGTCATAATGTCGGTGTTAACTTATTCAATACCTTATTAACATCACAAAGGCATTATTCGCGAGACAATAATGCTATCTCAAATATTGTTGAAGTAAAGCCATATTGATATGCGTTGGAATGAATAGTACGAAGAAAAGGACCAATAGAGCACGGGTGATAGAGAACCCCAATCGAGCAGGAACGCAAAGTGTTAAGATGTAAAATATTAAAAAATAGTCATTACTTTTCGATTCCAAGTTACTAAAGTGAGAAACCGTTTGGAAATAAGTGGGTATTCGTAGTTTCTAGAAATAATTTTCATTTAAAAATTTCAATTCTCATATTTCTAAGACCGGTTGAAAATAATAATAACAATAAGAAGAAGAAGAAGAAATTTTAAAAAATTACAAAAATTTTTGACATTTTTTTAAAATTATTTCATTTTTTAAAAAAATAAAAAATAAAGAATAAAAAAATCCAAGGCCAACAAAAAAAAAAAAAGAAATTTACGGGTTAAGCTTTGAAATTACCTATAATGACTGACGGTTACTAGTTAGGATTGCGTTGGAGTATTGAATTCAACAAGTGAATAAGAATGATAAGTAGATGATGGCTAGTAAACACTAGCTACACTAAGAATGATTAGTGTTTACTAGTTGGGACTACGTGGGTGTGTTGAATACAACAAGAGGAAACCTTTTGATGGTTAAGTTTCCTCCTTAAAACATCAGAACACCGGGGTCATAAAATACAACTCCTTGGCCGAGTAATCAGTTAAATGTTATTTAAAGTGTTTGGCTAACTGTCACATCTATATTATTGTATATTTGTTACCCATCAATATGGTTTTGAAAAGAATAATTATGACGTCTTGCGTGAAAAAAATATACCACACAAAATAAAGAGATGGATAAAAGATGGAAGGATGGGTGGTTGGATGGATGGAAGGAGGAAGGCATGGGTTAATTGATGAATAGATGGATTGATGAACAGATGGGAAGATGGATAGGTGGCTGGGTAAGTGGATAAATGAATGGGTGGGTGGGTGAATGCATGGACGGGATGGATTGATTGATTGACATACGAACAGAAGGATGAATTTAAGGCAGATGAACGGATAAAGGAAGATGAAAAGACAAAATTAGCAATAAGATTTTTTTCAGATTAAACATCTGCTACTGCAAACAGTAACCACACTTGACATGAAAGAATTAACAAATAAAAATAAAATTTGCATAAAGGGCRCATGCAGTAAAGCCATGAAATAAAAACAAAGTCGATACTGACAAATAGTAGTTATATAGTGACTAATAGTTGCTAGCACTCAACCAGAACATTTATCACAAGACACAAATGGTCTCTTGCGTATTTTTCTTTGTGTAATGAAAGTTCTGGTTGAGTGATAGCAACTATAATTTTAGTCATTAAATAGATACTATTTGTCAGTATTAACTTTGGTTTATTTCATGGTTTTACTGCATGTGCTATATTTGGTAACTGAAATCAATAAACTTACCTTAGCTTTAAACAAAGTCAGTAGATTATTTCTCAAAGTGATACAAACCAAAGGAAAGTTACTGCTCAGAGTAAAAACTGGATAGAAACTCAAAAACTTTGCCAGCATTTCAATAGGGTAGTCTCCAAAGTTCAGTGTATAGAGAGAATTTATCTCTGATGCTGGCCTGTTTATTGCAGCACTTAGTATGAGTATAGAAGAGTACAGTAATTCTATCACATAGTCAAACAATATGACAGCAAAAGATTTTTTCTTGTCTTTTAGTAGGAGAATAATAGGAGCAATGGAATGATGACACATAAAGGAAAACACTGCCATGCCAAGAAGCTGAAACGAAATCAATACAGCAATGTTAGATAATAAATAAATGAATATGGCCTAACAGGAGGTCAGTGCAGAGGCAAAAAAGGTAAAGGTAATTTATTTTACTTTGATAACAAGGGGAGTGGTTGCCCAAATCTCCCGAGCCAAGGACTCATGTTTAATGCGCTCGAAGGTGCGCCCTCTACCCCCTCTTACTATCAGTGCTCCTTTTTACGGGTATGTAAAGCTAATCATGACAAAATAGAGTCAAAAGGGAATGGGGAAAAGGGAGAAAAACACCTGACCATAACTGTTTTACACAGATGGTGGAAAAAGCACACAGGGTTACCGTGAAAAGATGAGTTCACACAAATAATGGTATGAATGTTTTATGCATATCAATTACTTTCACAAATCRTATGGATCATGAACCACACTGACGATCCGTATCAATTTAACAGTATTGGACAACCCAGCTCCCATACAAAGTACGTTAATGCAGTGGTCATGACAAAATAGGTTTAAAAGGGAATCCAGAAAAGGGAGAAAAACACTGCCATACTGCAGCTCTAATGAAATCAACACAGAAACATAAGGGCTGTTTATATTGTGTAAGGGATAAGGGCTAAAAATAATGACGGCTAACATAATGACTGACAAAGTCAGACCAGAAATTGGAACTTGTCCAGTCATATTTTAGCCTTGCCTGTAATTTTGACCAATAATGTCGCACAAATGAGGTATGACCAGGCTAAAACCAATGCATCCTCCTTAAAATTGTCTATTGATTGTGAGACTAACATGGAAATACAAAAGTAATGCCACAAATTCTATCAAGAAAAAGTGTGATTTCTTTTGTATTTTCATGTTAGCTTCACATTCACAGTACTTTTAAGAAGGATCCGTTTGGCTGGCAAATACTGATCAGCCATTATTTTTAGCCCTGTGGTAGAGTCCCTTTATTCAAAATTCTAGATCTGCCCCTCAGTCATGGTTCACATAAAAACAAGAAAAAATAAATAAAATAAAATAACAATAAAATCAAGTCCTGTCTACTAGTTACCACAGATAAGATGAGTACTCTTACCTCCTTAGTTTCTGGTACGTCACAGAGAATAATATTATCAAGAGGAACTCTGTTACCATTGGCGATGTCAACCGCACTCAAGATCACCATTAAAACTATAGCAGTGTTTCGCATTATCATGGTGAACATTTGTAAATATGTTGTCTTTTGAAAATTAAAAAAGCAAAATGGTCCAATAATCATGAGAAATCCTAGAAGGAATGAATAGTAGGATATGTCTGGGTCTGCGCCTGTGGTTGTTGTTAAGGTTGTAGCAACAGAAACGGCATATATAGCCAAATCCTGTAGGATTCAAAAATATAATAGTGAAAATCGTTCCTGCAATATCAAGATATATAGTGTATGTAGCCAGAACCTAACCAAACCCTGATTTGTTGAGCTTGCTGAAATAAGTAGTTCTAGAAAATATCCATACCCCCACCACAGAGGAAATTTGTAAAAGGACACCCCTATATCCCCAGGAACTTCCAATATTCTTCCATACAATCTCTGTAATTTTGTTCTTTCTCTAACCCCCCTCCCCTACAGAATTTCCAATTTCCTCTGTGGGTGGGGTATGGATATTTTATGGAAAGTCTACACATTATACTTGTAAACATGCTATGGAATGCCATAACATTGTGAATCATCCAATTACAATGACTGCATGTAGTTATAGTTACAGTAAAATGTGGTTCACTGACATTGTTAATGGTGCTCATATAAAATACTGCCCTATAATGCACTTACCCCATATAAATAAAGACATAGTACAGCATAGAAGAATGTTGATCCAGCACTCCCTAGAAATAATTCCGCCATGTGGCCCATTTCGACTTTTTCTTTTATTTCAAAAGGGTTAAACCCCCCATTGCTTGTCACCTTACTTTTTGCTGCTAGTTTCTCTCCAACATTTTTACAAGGATAGATTTGAGAAGATCCTTTGGAATTTGTCTTTGGATGTAACATTGTCCATGCATTAGCAGTTGAAAGAACTTCTACAACAAAAGTAAGGCTCACAAAAGCCATAAATGCAACAGTAACTAGAACCAATATACCAGATACAAGGCCAGCCTTAGCAACAGCTGCAGGAAGTGCTAGGATACCCACTCCTGTTAACAGATTGAATAGGAATATAGCAGCGACCTTAAAAAGAAAACATAATTATTCTTAGTTACCAAAGCATATGAATGTGCCCACAATGCAGGGGCGTGACCAGGGATCTTGCAGGGGAGGTGCACAGGCAATGATTTGCAGAAAGGCAGAACCAAAAAAAAGATGGTTTTTGAAAATGCTACAATATGCAGATGGAAAGTGGTCTTCATTTAATCAAAAAACATTTACATGCAATTTGAAAGCAAAAGGAGATAGATGAGCGGACCTTAAGCTTTTATGGGGGGATGCACATGCACCCTGTGCTCCCCCCTAGTTACGGTCCTGCAATGTACATAATTAACACCCTAACCCCATGGCTATCCACTGCTTACTACCCATCACAACGTCAAACCCCTCCAGCCCTCCTTATATTTTGATAGGGAGGAAACTTAAGATTTTAGTTTTTCCACTGGCTTTTTAAGTCTTACTACTGGTGCTAATGGGGTAGCTCACTGCTAAATCAATGCTTCCAGATCAAATCATATCCATGATTTTTAATTTCCTGGTGTAAGAAACCTAACCGCTACAGCTCTGGAGCGAGCCTGAAACGAGCAAAGCAAGGCAGGGATCCTAATTAAGTCAATATGCATATTAGCAGTAAAATTCGAGACTTCTTTTGTTAACCACAATGCAGTTTGCCTAGGGCAAGAACAATGGTTTTCTTTGTTCTAGCTATATATCCTGAAATGCACCATTCCATTTTACCACAATGCAGTTTGCCGAGGGAAAGAACAATGGTTTTCTTCGTTCTAGCTATCCAACTTATTTGATAACATCTTACATAAATAACATGTTCTCATCGGCTGACAGCTATGTTCAATAAAATAAAAATAAAACAATTAAAAACAAGGAAAATTGTTGTGTGTATTTTCTCTCATTAATCAAAGCTGTCAGCCAATCAGATTGCAAGAATATGTTCTATTATTGTAAAATAAACAATACTCCTTTTTACAGTTCCGTTCAGTGATCACGAATAATAGTTCTAAGTTGAGGCTGAAAAACTATACTTTTTATCATGCACGGCAACTCCAACCTCAGCTTGGAACTACTATTCATGGTCGCTGATTGGAAATGTAAAATGAAGTATTCGCTTATAGCATTTCATAGAATAGATAGATAGATAGATAGATGACGTCTTAAATCGTTCAAAACTTTGCAGTGAAACCACTCTCTCTCTTTGGAGGGAGTTACCTTTGATTTACCATTCCTGACTTTTCAATGCGCTCTCCTTCCTAGCTTGCCTATTTACATCGCGTAAAGAAGTTCAAGTCTTCTCGCTTTTCTGCTTTATTTATTTTTGGCATTGTTTCTTTCTTTTTATCTTTTCGGAATCCCACGAAAGTACGTAAGGGAGCACTCAGTCATACAATTAGGCTAGTAAATATTCATTATATAAGCTTATAATATTCCCCAGGGGATAAAAGGAGACATGCTATACACAAATGCAGTCAAACACATTATCTGCTACATCGACGAATGAGTAAAATCCAAAGTCAAATCCAAAATAATTTCCCCAAAAAACGAATATTTAGGCTTTTTTTAAGGTTTCTTACACGTTTTTATGACACGTTGTCAACAAATACAAAAATTTGTATGTAATTTCAAGAAAAATAAAATCCACGTACCTTTGCTGAATATCCATGAGTACTCTCAACTACTTTAGGTGACATTTTTATTCTACTTTCAAAAAGAAATTCCAATATTTTTATCGCGCGTCAAAGAAGAAACGTTCTTCGTCACGGCCGCCATGTTGGATTACGCGAGGGACTGGTACGGCCAGTACTCATCAATCAAAATGGCGTCCAAAGGAGTATTCGTGGAGTTTAGAAATAATTTTGCAATATTATGGATTGGAAATGGAGAAAATCGCTTTAATAGTCAATATGTTAAGGATCTGCAATCTTCACTTGATCAAGTTGAGAAGTAAGTCATGGATTAGCACCAACATTTTGATAGATCTTTGGAAATTAATGTTAATCTTCCACTAGAAATCATTCTTTGCTTGCACATTACATCATCACAGCCATGCTGGTGATATTAAGCTTAACAACAGTCAGATGCTAATAATGATGATAATGCATAGCTGTAATGATGTAATGTGCAAGCAAAGAAAGCTTGCATGCATGGCTGTCACATGTCATTGTCATTTGCATGACTCTCTTGTAAATAATAAATAGGAAACCAGCAATTGCATGGATTAGGAATGTTGTTAATTTTTTTCCATTTTTTTTAGAAATGAGGATGTTCTATTTTTGATAAYCATTGGCCAAGGAAAATTTTACTCAAATGGTCTAGACCTGGACAGTTTGGTTGAAATGAATGAGAGAGATCTTCACAGTTTTTCTTCTGCATTGCATGCTCTATTCTTAAGGACCCTAACATTTCCAGTGCCAACTATAGCTGCTTTGAATGGTGAGTAAGGGGCAGTTTATCTCAGGGGGAGGAATGAAATATAACTTATGGGGTGTGACATAGCTATCATGTATGTTTGTTAACTTTAACAGAAAAATTTACCAATTCGATATATAAACTAACACCCAGCCATGTCTTTTTCTCTTGTGGAAAAGCATTTTGCCACCTGTTTTAGGTGTTCGCTGCTAACGTACTGCCTCTCTCAACTGGGTCATGGGTTCAATCCCTGGGTGTGCCATCATATATGTGACTAAAGCTGCTTCTTGGTTTTCTCTGCAGCTGTAAAAATTTTTCTCCAGGTTCTCTGATTTTCCTCCCTAGCTGCAAAAATCAACTTCTAAATTCTAATTTCATCATGGAATGAGGGCCACAAATTCGTTTGGCACTGGCTATTTAAGTGATATACCTACTAGTATGGAGCAGAGTTTGGTTGGGGGAGGGAAAGGAGTTTTGTTGGGGGAGGGAAAGGAGTATAACCGTATATGCTGACTGCAGGGAGAGCTAAACTATCCTTTATATGGTTTTGTTCATACATATAAGCCTAATATAAAAAATCTATATAAAATTTTTCTAGGTCATAGTTTTGCAGGTGGTGCAGTCTTTGCTACAACCCATGATTACCGTGTGATGAGAACTAAACAAGGATGGTATTGTTTACCTGAAATCCATTTAAAATTAAAGTTTTCCATTGGAATGATGTCTATATTAAGGTAAGTGTAGCTAAATGTACAGCTAATTTTTTTTCTTCTGATATTTGATGCATGAGTATTATCCTGGTAATCTTGAGGTCAGGATAGGGATAGGAATTTGGGTGTTGTGTTTAAGAGTAGGTTGGTAACTATATACATACTTGAGAACTTAGGGAAAAACACTTGAAGCACAGTAAACAATAAGCTCCTATGCAGATGTCCTTCTTTTATGGGAACAGTTCTATCATATTGGGAACCAAAGGATGTCTTTGTAGGAGGCAAAGTAGAAATCCAATAGGCAACTTTACTCATATTTGATGATGGGTCTAAGGATTACATCTGTAACAAAGGCATTTAGAAATGAAAAGTTTAGCAATGCAATAACTTCATTTATAGCTAGTTGTGTTCATAAATTTTCATGTCTAAAAATGAAATAAGTGTGAGTAAAGAGTGTGAGAGTGAATCAACATGTGAGTTGTGTGCATTGAAGTTGAATGTATTGATGGTAAGTGAAGTTGTGTGGTAGTTAGTCATAGCTCATGAGACTCTGCAACAACTCAACAATTCATGGAAATATCTATAAAGGTGTTTTAATAAATTAAGTGTGTTCTCTTGATTCAGAGCCAAAATAACAGATCCAAGAGTACAAACAGATTCTATCATAATGGGTAAGAGATACACTGCTGAAGAAGCACTTTCATCAAAAATAGTTGACCAAATCTGTGATAACAATGAGTTACTGGAAAAAGCAATCGAATTTGGATGGAAAATTGTAGGAAATGAGAAATTCAACAGAAAACAAATGGCAGATCTGAAGTCAGATCTTTATCAAAATGTCGTTGAGGACTTGAAGTTATCCATGAAAATACAAACAGAAAATACAGACACTCTATCCAAACTTTAATGCTAGAAACATATTAATAACAATTGTAAATAGACTAGTAAACTTCAATTATGAAATTTATGCTCATAAAATTCATGCAGACAAGTTTACTTTATCTTAATCAAAACGTCATTCCAGTCAAAAAAAAGAAGAAAAAAAATCAGCAATTTTCTATTATGATTTTTATTCCTTATCAAACCTATAGTTTTACGCTTTGTTTTTGTTGTCTTTGTTTGGGTATAGTTGATACAACTGAAGGGAATGTTGCTCTGGATCAAGATAGCTCTAGTTATTTTTTGAACAGTTTTATATCATTATTGGTTTTACTCTTTTTATTAGCTTTATTTTATTTCTCTTGGGCATGATGTTCAAAATTCAAAACTGTTTCAGTAAGGTTTCAAAAATAGTTTATATATCAACTAGTTTTACTTTTTTAGTGGCATATTTTTTATTTTATTTTGACGAGAAGACTTTCAAAGTCAGACAACAGGACCAAAAATGCAATAAAAGAATAACGAAGTTAGGGGCACTTGGTAATGAAAGGACGACCGAAATAAATGAAACCACTCGCCAATGCATATTTGTGCTTGCAATGAGACTTTGGCGCCAAAATTCAAATAATACAGTTTAGGGTCATTCTGCAGCGCGATGTTTTTATGAAGATAGCATTCCTCTCACTCACATATTCTGTGGTCTTGTTGCTTTTCATTCCTAGAATTTACTACTAGTACTTTGTGTTTTTTTTATTAAAGAATGATTAGGGACCTTTCAACGAAGACCGTTGGTCGCGCTATCTTTTTGGCGGCAAAACCGTAACGGTTGTTCTTTCATGATTTAGCGCCATGCATCTTGTAGCATTTTTTAAGCATTTTGTCATTACTTTTGTATCATGTGGTGGCTCTTAAAAGAGCCGTTGTTTTGTTTTGCAAACAGTTTAGAACTGTTTACGAGCTTTTCTTCTCGGTTTTCTTGGGCAAGAGAACAGCCTGGATGTTGGGAAGGACACCACCTTGGGCGATGGTAACTCCACCAAGAAGCTTGTTCAACTCCTCGTCATTTCTGACAGCCAACTGCAAGTGACGGGGGATGATTCTGCTCTTCTTGTTGTCGCGGGCAGCATTACCGGCCAACTCGAGGATTTCAGCGCTCAGGTACTCAAGGACAGCAGCCATGTAGACTGGAGCACCAGCACCAACACGTTGAGCATAGTTGCCCTTGCGGAGAAGACGATGTATACGCCCTACGGGGAACTGAAGCCCTGCACGGGATGAACGAGTTTTGGACTTGGTGCCCTTTGCTTTACCTTTACCACGACCAGACATTTTGAGATTTATATTCGTAGTAGTTCGCTACAAAATCGATGAAGTGTTTGATAATATTTCGCTATTTATACCGCTAGCTTGGTAATTAGAGGATCACAAACGACCAATCAACAAGAGGTACTTTTAAGCGCGTGGCAAAGGTCGACTAAACTTTTAGGCTGTATTTACATTAAGTTTTCTATCGTCCAATGAAAACACAGGGATTTCGATCCTCTTGATTCAATTATCCGGTGCTGTTTCGGTATAAATATATGCCAAGCAACGATCTACCATCATTGCATTTTAGCAAATTTACAGCATCATGCCAGCAAAAGCTCCCCCCGTCGTAGGAAAGAAAGGAGAAAAGAAAGCAGGCAAGAAGGCCGCGCTTGGTGACAAGAAGAAAAGGAGGTCCAAAAGAAAGGAATCCTATGCCATCTACATCTACAAAGTCATGAAGCAAGTCCATCCTGACACTGGTATCTCCAGCAAGGCCATGAGCATCATGAACTCCTTTGTCAAYGATGTCTTCGAGCGYATCGCTGGTGAAGCTTCCMGMCTYGCTCACTACAACAAGAAGTCCACCATCACATCTCGGGAAATCCAGACGGCCGTTCGTCTTCTTCTCCCTGGTGAACTGGCCAAGCACGCAGTCAGTGAAGGCACCAAGGCTGTCACCAAGTACACCAGCAGCAAGTAAACAGTTCAACCGTTTACTAAAAACAAAAAAAACGGCTCTTTTAGGAGCCACCACATGAAGCAAAAGCTTTGACAAATGCTTGTCCTTTCACCCAAACATCATTAACCTATTGCCAAACAGATCTTGTATAACTACACGCTT